ATTGTTCGAATGGAATAAACAAAATTGTATCACAATATCCAATATCGCACAATTCCGATCCCATACCGAACAGAGATTACCGGAATTTCTTTGGTTGGCTTTACTCTCCACTCTCAAAAAAGTGTTAAAACTTGAACCTGTCTCGAAATAAGTTGCCTACAATGAATAATTGGTAATTGATTGATTGCCCAATATTGCTGTATAGAAATGTAAAAATCTGTTGCTTTTGCGAATTATCATTCGATCAAAGTTGGCTCCAAAGTATTTACAAGTTGACAACTGACATGAAAAACTTAATTTTCAAAGTCGTATTTCAATCATTCAAATTGCAAAATCGAAGCGTGATAGAGTGAAATTTACAAAATTCATCAGTAAAAACAGTAAATTGAAAGATGGATATTTCATATGATGAAGATCCGGAGGATAATGCTCTTCTGATCGCAAAAGAATTTGAAAGACTGGTAGAGGAAAGTTTGATCTACCGAAGTAAGTAAATTTATGACATTTTTTTGTCATTTTTTCCAGTTTTCGTTTCGTTTATTATCAAGATCGCACCGGGTATGCTTATCGTGGAGATCCCAATGCTTATGTGCCCGGCCAAGCTTTGGTGCCCGTTCGAACTGTGGCCATTACTGCGAGAGATTCTTTATGTAGATTTGTCATTGTTATGGGGGGAGGAAATGACGACGAATTTATAGATGATGAGATCGAAGTGTTACTGGAACGCAACAATAACAAAGCTGACATTTTACAATTTCAAGACAATGTAAACGCATGCATTGCGAAATTCAATGAACTTATCAAAGGTAAGCACACCGAAGAAAACGTCGAAAAAGTAGTTCAAAAACATTTCAATTTACAATGGTTTCTTTGAAAAAATGTTTTTTTTTTGCAGGTGAAATTTCTTTGATTTTTCATGAAGAGTACGGCATTTGGATGCATGCTACCATCATTTCTCTCGAGCTCTATAACTCTTGCGACTACGAAGCCACACATTATTTTGGATATCGTATTGGAAAAGCGCCACGCGATTACCAACGTAATTGTATAGTATCACCGCGTAATGTTCGTGTTGATAGTATGCGCAGCTGTCTGTGCGGTGCACGTTTACCAATGTTAGAATTCGAAGCGCACAGAGATCCAGCAGTTCATCTCGGATATGCGTTAACAAGAAATTATCTATGTTTTTTGGCGAATTACGAAGGTTTTTTTTAGATATATTTGAAATCAAACACAAAATGCTAAGATTTTATATTCTTTGAAGGTATTGAGGCTACTGTTCATGGTCAAAAAGCCAAACTCGTGGACGCTTGCAGGCCGTGGACAGATGGAAATGTTAAATTTCGACTCAAAATGATGAACAGTCGGAATGAAATTCAAGAAAGCTCACAAAACATCTATTTGGGGCATTATCAGTGCAAAGTCTGTCGCAAAGTCCTCTCTACTGATGAAATAGAGAATCATTTGGAAATCCATTTTAACGAAATACCGGATCTAGAAAAGAACGCGACTCCATTTGCTATATTAGCAAAAAATGTTTCCGAGAAAGTGGACCAATTTTTCGACATTTTTGAACGGGAATTGAAAGGTTAGCAGTGCTAACTTAAGATTCATAAAATGCTGGATAAAAATAGTAGCGAATTTTGAAGACTTTATATTTTCTCTTTATATTTTTGCTAGACCAAGATGCTATATTTTATCAAAATGGATGGAGCCTTGTTACACTGACGGCTCTTAGACTGTCCGAGTCTGGTGGTGCATCTTACCTCATACGAAAATCTGATGGTATTCACGAATGGGTGACAACAGCAAATGTCCGCTTTGATTATCAGATCAACATAGATGGCATATATGCGCCTGTGTTTAAAAAAAGAGATGATCAGGAGCGTTATAACGCAATCTTTTAAATAGATCCAGCGAAAATTCTAAAATACAATTTAGTGTTTCACATTTTTATCTTTCAAAATTGTTTATTCTGATTGATCGTGCTTATGGGGAGATGCTGGATGCAATATTTTCCGAAAGTCGTCATTGTTATGCCAACTAAACAGAAAATGTTTGTTTCCAAATAAAAATAGTAGGCATTGCAACTCAAATTCGGTTGTATCACTTTCAATATATCATAACAATGATGGGCATTCCATATATTTTTAACAATTGTTCTATGTATTCTATGCATTTCTATGGGTCGTGAATCTATTTTCAAAAATGATTTACTTTCGTTTTACTTCTCCATCAACCAATATGTCGAGCCAATTTTTCATTGCAAGTAACACATTTCGCAGCAAAATGAAGACAGTTGTTCAAATTTTTGCACTTTTTCAACAGAGCACAGGTACTGGAGTAAAGCTGACCAAAATTCCGGTAAGGGATCGGAATTGTGCAATATTGTAATACAACATTTGTTAATTCCATTCGAACAATGGAATGAAAAACAACATCTACCATCATTGGGGAATGATATACGGTAGATGCATTCATCTGATTTCATTTTTTAGGTGAATTTTCTGTTTGTATTTCAAATGTTACAAAATATGAAAATTAAACCAAGTAGAAAAATACATTGACTGCATTCGTAACAGTGTAATACTTCTCCACACACAGTACTGGTACTGTGTTGTGCAGCGCACATAGTGCACAAAAGTAGCCGTTCATGATTGGATTAGTATTCTCACTTTGATTTTAAATCGCAGGATACTGTGCATTTGATCACTATTATTTGTTGACTTTGAAAAGATTTGAAACATTTTTAGTAGACAACAGTGAAGCAAGTTCAATTCCAATCAGTTTTTTTTTCATTGTTGAATAAAGTCTATAAAACAGTAGGTGAAGCAAGAACTTTGAAAATTTTCTCAACACACCAAGTTAGAAGAAACCAAAATTTCGGTCGTAATGGATAGAAGGGACAAATTAATTGCGGATTTAGGAGCAGATGATGATGCAACTATTTTTAGGTTAGTTGAAAAGCGAAAAGATGGCAAACGAAATTTGGACGCTGCTGACAGACGGAATCGACATTTTCATCGTGACCGATCAGATGTGTACGATCGCACTGACAGGCTCAACGAAGCAAAAGCCGAATTTGCTGAAGCCGATCTATTCGAAAAAACTGCTGATAAACTAGAAACGATGGCTGCCATAGATCGCAGAGATGGTAGTCGCAATTTACACGCTGCTGCTCTAGAACGGGGAGATAGAAAACGGCACCATACACGAATTTCTTCGTCGGGTAGTAGACGTCGACGCGTCGACCCACTTGATGATCAACTTGATGGCCGTTTTGGTGGTCGTTTTGATTTTGATCGTACACGAGAAACACAAACGCCCAGAGTCAGGACACGTGATTCGGGCTCCAGACCACGAAACCAAAGACAACGCTCAAGATCATCTGGCAGAGATAATAGAAGACCTTCATATCGATGTTAGCGAAAAAAAC